AAATTGCTGGAAATGCATATTATGGAAAAAGTATGCATAGATTTCAAATTTACTTTGTATTAAACTAATCTTTTAATTTAATTGTTCCATTGATTTTTGGAAGTATCCCATATTTAGGATAAAAGGAGAGAGTTCTTACTGATGGGGGATGAAATGACAAATATGGAAAAGTAGAAACTAAAATGAATGCTACGTTATTTAATTGAATTGGAGACAGTGTTAATTCATGGTGTGAACACATAAAATAAATATAGTAGGTGAGATATATGCGTATTTGTAGGTATGTAGATAGACAAAGAATAGGTACGTACATGAATACATTGAGTAGCTCTGCCCATGAGAAGACCTGGAGGCATCCATATCCCAGATTTTAGTTTCTAAATATAATTCTTCACCAAAAGAGGCCAGGGCTCTGTGGAGAAATGACTGATTCTAGGGTTCAGAAGCATAGGTCCAAAATGGGCCTGGAATGCTTTGTTGTTCAGAAAATAAGAAAATAGGCAAAGAATGATGGAACAGGTCAAAATGGTAGAAACAGGTGACTGTCTGATCAAATCTTGGACAGGTGAGTGCTTGGTCAAACTTTGGCAATGAGAACATAATAATCAACTGTGATAATAAGGCTATCTTCTATTGCATAAGAGAGTAACCCATGAGCCATCCTAATATAAATACATACTAAATAAATAAAATGGTAGAGGAGAAATTTTTTATTTGCAATGGAATGTCAACTGTGACTGAATAAAGAGTGATGGAAATATTTTAAAAAATTAAGCAATTATCATAGCAATAATTATTACAGCCAAGAAATATGAAGTGTACCAAAACTAGTATATTAAAGCTTGATAAATAATAAAATATGTATAGTTTGATAGCTCCTTACAAAATACTTATTGATAAAAAGAGAAGAAGGCCGGCGCCGCGGCTCACTAGGCTAATCCTCCACCTTGCAGCGCCGGCACACCGGGTTCTAGTCCCGGTCGGGGCGCCGGATTCTGTCCCGGTTGCCCCTCTTCCAGGCCAGCTCTCTGCTGTGGCCCGGGAGTACAGTGGAGGATGGCCCAAGTGCTTGGGCCCTGCACCCCATGGGAGACCAGGAGAAGCACCTGGCTCCTGGCTCCTGCCATCGGATCAGCGCGGTGCGCCGGCCACAGTGCGCCGGCCGCGGCGGCCATTGGAGGGTGAACCAACGGCAAAGGAAGACCTTTCTCTCTGTCTCTCTCTCTCACTGTCCACTCTGCCTGTAAAAAAAAAATAAATAAATAAATAAAAAATAAAAAGAGAAGAGAGATTAACTTTATGGTGGAGAATGTGGCAGATATCTTAATCAAGTGATCAAAGTTGACTTTCCCTGTAACAGGGCAATTACAATATCTTGTATAACTTGATAAGATACAATGAGATATCACAGCATCATTTGTCATATTTCTGTCCCTCTCCCCCACAAAAAAAAGGAGGGCGTATCCTGAATCTAATCATGAGGAAACAGAAAAAACTATTTCTACTCTTATGAACATAGCATGTCCATCTCTGGTTCTAGGGTTTGATGGTGTTATGCTGTATTCCTAGGAGGTCTTAGAGCTTCATTTTATTATGAAAATGCTTAAGCAACATCATAACATTTAATGCTGTAGTGTAAGTCTACAGGAAATATCATAACATTTAAAATTTTAAATGAAATTAAATATGATTTCAAACTTTCACTCTTTAATTTGGCACAGAAATTCAATCCCAGTCTCATGTGTTCAATTGATCACAGTGGCTGTTGAGATGCTCAATGCCAAAGTCCAAATTTCATTTGAAGGTAGAACACTGTATCCTTCTGTGACACTTCTTCATGCAGGGACCTTAGGCTAGTGCTTCTAAGGCCATGATGGTGTGTGTCACAGGGACATGAATCTCAAGTACTTACAGAAAGCTTTTATCCACTGTCTCTTCAGGTCATTTCCTCGGTGTCCAAGGAAGCTCATCTTCTTCCCTAGTTTTAAGCTATTTCCCATTTCCACTCCCTAAGAAAGATCCAGGTAAGAGTGTTTTCTATACATCTGGGAACTTCCATTTTCAGTCTAGAAGCATGAAAATCATGGATAACCAATCAAGAAAAGGGGACCCAAGCTCATGGCATAAATGCTTATCTGTCTACCTCACTGGAATCCTGGAAGGATGCTTTTCACTCTTTTGAGCTTCTCACAACCTTGAGTATAAAACACTAATATTTCAACCAACTAAACCACCAAATTGTTCATCCTCTAAAACAGAGGGTAATAAGGTCATTTTAAAAGATTTTAAGGTGGTAAAAGGCAAGATGTAAATATTTTAGGTTTTGCAGGCAATGAAGTTTCTGTTGGAACTATTCAGCTCTTCCATACAGCACAAAAGCAGCCTAAGGTCACATGTAAACAGATGAGCATGGCTGCATTCTAACGACATTTGATTTATGGACACTGAAATAATGAATTTGGTAGAACAATCATGTATTACAACCTGTTGTGCTTATTTTGACTTTTTCTCCCATTTTATAAAGTAAAACATTCTTAACTCTATCCAAAAGTGAGTAGTGGTCCAGATCTGGCCTATGGGCTGTAGTTTGCTGGTTTCTGCTCTACGACAATCAGATGAGAATAGTAACATACGTGCTTTCAGAATTCAGAATCATTTCCTTTCATAAACATCATACATTTGTGCATTGACCATAGCTTTTGTCACTTTCTGTCAAGAACCACCATTTTGTATGCACTAACCATCCAGGTTGTGTCCTCCTTAAGAGAAGGAAGTGTGTACTTCCTTTGACCTCCCATAGAGCCTAGGTGTTCCAACTATTTTGATTCAAGGAAATTGAATGCTGGGGAGAAAGACTAGTTGCTTGTGGAGCATCATCAATGCAAAATGGGCTTTGCTCTGGTAGAGGGCTGCGCATTGTGTTATGTATGGTTTAATTGTGCATTCCCTTTTTTCTTCTCCAGAGCTATCTTTGTTTACTTGTTCAATTCTTTCCAAGGCATCTCTTTGAGGACCAGGTCTTTGTGAAGAGCTCTGCATTGATGAATATCAGAGGAAAACAAAGGTTTCCAAAAGATGTGGGTCATGTTTTCCATTTATACATTTTTATTCATATTTAAGCCTTTTAGAAAAGCTGGAAATATGATTTTGCACATATTTTTAAAGACAAGAAAATCTTGAAACTTTTTTCTTCTATACATATGGTCATTTGGTTCATATGTAAATACAAAGACTCTTAGAAAAATAGCATGTTTTCTTTTGTCTTAGTTAAACCTTACGTCTTCATTTTTTTTTTTTTAAGAAAAGATTTATTTATTTAAAAGCAGAGTGAGAGGTAGAGGGAAGGACAGGGAGAGAAAGATCTTCCATTTACTATCTCACTCTTCAAATAGTTTTGGTTTTACTTCCACACATAATGGATATTTTATACTTTTACCAGCACTTTAAGGTGTCTTGAAAGGTTGATTTTGTTTAAAATATTTATTTATTTATTTATTTGACAGAGTGAGACATACCAACAGGGGAGGGGGAGGTCTTTCATCAACTGGTTCACTCTTTCAAGGACCAGAGCTGGTCTGGGCTAATGCCAGGAGCTGAGAACTCCACCCCCGTCTTCTAGGTGAGTGGAAGGGGCTCAGGTATTTGGGTCACCTTCTGCTGCTTTCCCAGGTGCATTAGCAGGGATCTGGGTGGGAAGTGGAGCAGCCAGGGCTCTCACTGGTGCTCTGATATGGGATGCTAGCCTCACAACCCATAGCTTAACCCTGTGTGCCACAACGCCGGCCTCAAGGTTGACTTTTTTAAAAAACACAAAACTTGAATAAACATACATTGACAGGTAATCATTTCTCTTTCCTTCTTATTTATTTACTTTTTGTGATGGCATCAACAGAATTAAGCAACTCACTGTAAAAAGTGGCTCATCTTTCTAGAAGCAGGCAAGTGGCTGATTTGGCAGAAAGAGGACTTGACCAAGAGCCAGCTGAGATGCATGCGTCTGGCTTTGTCTATTATATGCTAACTAGATGCGTGACTGCTGGCAGACAGCTGAAGTCCTGAGCCTTGCTAGTATGTTTAGTTGCAAAGGGTTATGGTAATACAGCCTCATTTTGGTACTTGGAACACAGTGTAGGCTGAACTCTTTCGTAAGGAACAAAATGACTTATAAATGTCAGTACTTCTACATTTGTTTGAAATGGCTTTTGCTGTGACCTCAGCAAAGTATGTGGAGAAACGTGTGAAACCGTTTGCTTCAAGGGGAATATCTTCAAAGAACTGAGTCTGTTTTCTGAAATATCTCAACCTAAAACATACGCAGAATAACAGAAGGCAAAAGTGTTTCGTTTTTCTGAGTTCCCTGATACTTGCTTCATTGTTACTGTTTCACACTACGTCTGGCTTCTTTACCTCCTCCGTGATGTCACAAGTTCTCTTTTTTGAAGCAAGGAAGTTGTAAGGAATGAAGCATTCCTAACTTTGCCCGTTACAAACTTTCCCTTCGGAGATGACTGAGATCTCCTGCGTCTTACCGACTTTTTCTCACACCAGCCCAGCTCCCGACGTCCCTCAGAGGTGCGCAGCACCACCTGCTGGGAGCGTGGGCCGAGCCAGGCAGGAGCGGCGCCGCAGGGCTGGCTGCCTGGGAGACGGCCTGGGCCGCCACGGCTCAGGGGACGCCACATGGTTTCCGTACACGTGATTCACCCCGGGAAATCCAGACTTGGCTACAGCTCGCTTGGATGGAGAAGACGCCCGAACCCCAGCCTAAAACAAGGGACGCTAGCGGCGCCGCACTAACCGTGTGGGAGGAACCTCGCTCTAAACGCCGCACCTCAGTCGCTGGAAAACTTGGCTCTGTGGGCGGGACTACGTCAAATGGGTGTGACCCGCTCTGTGGGCGGAAACACTCCTGGGGCGGGGCTTCGCTGTGTACGGACGGGGCTCGGGGCGGGGCTTCGCCCTGTGAGCGGGGCTTCGCTCTGTGGGCGGAAACACTCCTGGAGGCGGGGCTTCGCTGTGTACGGACGGGGGCTCAGGGCGGGGCTTCGCTCTGTGGGCGGGAGCCGGATCTCTCCGGAACTTCCGGGACTATGTGCGTGCAGATGGCGTCACCTGGACCTCCAGCTGCAGCACGCGGGGATTTAAGGTTTGATTCGGGAGAGATTCTTCTCGGGGGCCGCGTGAGATGTCCTGTGGCTGGGGCAGAATTGGACCATCCTCGTGCCGCTGGGGCCCGGAAACTCGGTTCTGTCGCACTCTGCTTTATGTGGTCTTAATGGGTCGCGGTCTTACCGGCCCAGGCCCGAAACCCCGGTGCTTGTTGGGCTTTCTTCCGTTGGCAAGGACCCCAGCTTGGGCCCGTGTACATAATGATAACTGTGAACTCGCGGTTTGGCACAAGATTTCCCTGCCCCTCCCACCAGGGTGTTAGTTTCTCCGAGAACCTTCCGAATTCTCGCTCGTGTCCCCACTTGTCTGCTGCCTCTAACACTTTACTGTTTTCCTGTCTCTGTCCCAAATGCAAGTATGTCTGTCTCACTTGTGTACACAACTAGTACTCATGATGAACGCATACCAGATAAGCAGTTGGATTTTTGATACCTGTTGAGGTTTAGATTAATACGAAGGTTTTATTATGTGTATTTTATGCTTCGGTTCATAATCATATAGTTTCCCTTTTTTTGTTTTAAAGATTTATTTATTTGGAAGGCAGAGTTACAGAGAGGCAGAGAGAGATCTTTCATCTGCTAGTTCACTTCCCAAATGGTTGCAACAACTGGGGCTAGGCAGAGCTGAAGCCAGGAGCCAGGAGCTTCTTCCCTGTCTCCCACGTGGATGCAGGGGCCCAAGGACTTGAACCACCTTCTACTGCTTTCCCAGGCCATAGCAGAGAGCTGGATCGGAAGTGGAGCAGCTGGGACTAGAACCGGCATCCATACGGGATGCTGGAGCTTCAGGCCAGGGCGTTAACCCACTATGCCACAGTGCCGGCCCCATAATCATATAGTTTCTATTGTCTTCATTTTCTTTAGCTAAGGGTGCCATTAGGGCTCCAAAGTATTGCTCTCTGTTAATTACTTTTCTGAGGCTACACTGAAGGGTATACATTTCCATTAAGAGATACAGCGTGAGGGGCCAGTGCTGTGCTGAAGTGGGTGAAGCTGCCACCTGCTGTGCTGGCATTCCCATATGGGCACTGGTTCAAGTCCCAGATGCTACACTTCCTATCCAGCTCCCTGCTGGTGCGTCTAGGAGGAGAGCAGAGGATGGCCAGGGTATTTGGGTCCCTGCACCCATGTGGAGACCTGGAGCAAGCTAAGCTTTGGATCCACCCAGCCCCGGCCCTTGCAGCCATTTGGGGAGTAGACCAGCAGATGCAAGCGTGCTAACTCTGCCTTTCAAAAAAAATTTTTTTTTTTAAGTCAAAAGAGATACAGTGAGAGCAAAGGAAAGAAAGGAAGAATGGGCATGAGTCTTCAGAAAACAGTAAGCAGGCTAGATTGGTTAGTGCAATAAACAGGCAAGTTATAGATGTCTTTGACCGATGTAGGCTAGATTTGGGGTAGCAGTAATATATAAGGCCACAGCGTATTGCCAGTTATGCATTCAGAGAGGTACTGAAGATCTTTAACATTAAGATTTCACCCAAAGCACTCTGCAAAACAGCCACTGTGCAGATATCTTAAATCAGAGGTTAGCAAACTTTATGTTAAGGGCCAGACAGTAAATATTTTAGGCTTTGCAAGCCCTGGTTGTAAACAAAACTACCACAGGAGACACAGTTTTGTTCCAGTAAAGCTTTACCTGGAAAGGACAGGTGCCTGGCCCGACTTGGCCCTGGGCAGTTTGCCAACCTCTGGTTTCATCAAATGCATATAAAGGACTGCAGCACTAAGCCTGTCCTGTTTTTGTATTGCTTTCTAGTATATATATATTAGAGCTGGTCTCACATGGAGGTTGTACTTAAGTCAGGAAAATAACCTGAGAGGGTAGAAGTGTAGAATTAAGGAATGATTTTGATGAGATGCACAGGAGAGAAAGGGAGCATAAAAGGAATGAAAAAGTGGAGTCCATAAACTGTGCTGGGAACCAGAATATAATAATAGTTCAAAGAGTAGCAAAGAGAGGGACTGTGAAGATTAACACTGTCAAATGCTGCATATCATACACAGGCTAAATAAAGTTGCCACATGCAATAATTTCCATTTCTTTCACCTCTACTAGATTTTTCTAGTCTTTGCATTATGCATCCCTAAGAACACCCAATCAATGTCTGTGGGTTGAATTCATTATTACACATAGGTAATGAGATGAACTTTCTTAATACTTAATTGGTACTTCACTTTTAAATCGATGAACAGTTCATATCTCTCTTTCCTAGACAATGGCCAAGAACAAATTAAGAGGACAGAAGTCCAAAAATGTATTTCACATAGCCAGCCAAAAAAATTTTAAGGCTAAAAACAAAGCAAAACCAGTTACTACTAATCTTAAGAAGGTGAGTATTAACATTCTGACTTCACTGGTTACAGGGAAAGCATAGTCTTGAAGCTGCTGAACAACTGGATGCTACTGTTTAAAACAGAAGTTCTTATTTTTTCTACAAGATGTTAAGCATGTTTACAAAAATGAAAAATTTCCCTTTCTTGATTCAGATGCAAGGAAAAAAATTTTAATTATTTATTTTTATTAAAAAGTCAGAGAGCGTGAGAGATCTTGCATCTACTGGTTTACTCCTCCAATGCCCACAACAGTCAGGCGTGGGCTAGGACAAATTCAGGACCCAGGAACTCAATTCAGGTCTCCTACTTAGCCCACTACTGCTGCTTCCCTGGCCTCATGGTAATTAGAAGCTAGAATCAGAAGTGGAGTGAGACTTGCGCCCAGGCACTCCTCCAGTGTGGGATGTGAGTATCCCAGGCAACATCCAAACGACATCAGTTGTCTAGCCCAGGAAAAAGCATTTTAACTGCAAACCGTGTAGGGCTTTATACAACAAGTTTAACAGCTTTGTTAAAACAGATAACTAAGACACACATACACACACACACACACACACACACAAAGGGATGGGAAACAGATCTTAGCTCTGACAAGTGCCTTCTAACAGCGTAGTCCTGAAATGTCAGAGAGCACCCATTCTTCTTAGTAATATTACCTCTGAATGTGTCTAGAACTCAAAAACCTATTAAATAACGAAGTATTTTTTCCTAAAACACAAAATTTGCAAAGGGTTTGTGGTGTTGGCATTTCAAAATACTTGTAAAATACCTTCATCAAGATTAAGTAAAATTCTTTACAAAAAATCTTTAAGGAAACGTTTTCAATGTTCAGTAGTAGGTAAAGCCAGCTTTCCAGGACTCAAATTGTCCTAATAGTCCATTTTATGTTTCAACTTTTATGAGCTAGCTGTTAAATAAGCTTGATGGGAGTTTTATGACTTTGTAAGGTGCAGGATATGATGAGGATTTGAGGACAGTTTTAAACAGGACTGTTTTCATAGTTGACATTGAAACCAAGGCCTGAATGATAAGGAGCTAGCACTGCAAAGAGCTGGGAAGTGTTGGAAGGAGCATATTCTAGGCAATTATCTAGAGATAACAGCAAGTGCAGAGGCTTTGAGCGAAGCGGAAGTTTAGTATATTTGAAGAACATTATTTCGTTTTGATAAGAGGTGCTAGAACCTTTATGTATGCTGACTGGTAGGATCTGAGAGAGGGAAAAAGAGATCTGTGGGTAGGCAGCATGGTTGGAGAAAGTATCAAATATTTGTCTCAGAAAGTGACCTAGAGGCAGCATTGTGGCACAGCGGGTTACGCAGCCACCTGCAATGCCAGCATCCCATGAGTGCTCTTTCAAGTCCCAGCTGCTCCACTTCCAATCCACCTTTCTGCTAATGCTCCTGGGATGCAGTGGAGAATCGCCCAAGTAATTGAGTCCCTGCCACCCCTGTGGGAGACCCAGATGGAGTTCCAGGCTCCTGGCTTCGCCTGGCCCAGCCCTGGCTGTTGTAGCCATTGGGGGAGTGAACCAGCATAGCCACATCCAAAGCCTTTTGATTGAAATTCCCTAATAAAACTGTAACAACTTCACTAATTATCTCCATAAATTGATATATTGGTAAGAATTTTTGGAGTTTTAGGTTTAAGGTCAGAGTTGAACATAATTTTATCTGTAGGATTAATACCATTTTTCTTTTTCAAAAGATAAACATTGTGAACGAAGACAAAGTTAACAGAGTGAACAAAGCTTTTATAAATATACAAAAGGAACTTGCAAACTTCTCAAGGGGCCTTTCTCTGGAACCGTTACAGAAAGAGCTGGTAAGTAGAACCATTTGCTTCTGTTATGGCTAATAAATTAAATCCAAATTTTCAAGACCTATAAATTGAGTAAAAATTTTAATGGTTAGCCTTCTAATATACTTGGCTACAAGGAGTTTACAGCATATTGGTCATATTTCGACTCTAAAACACTGAATGTGAATATAAGAATCTGTTCTACTTCCAAAGATATGGCTAGAAGATATTAAATTGGATAACAAATTATAAACAAGTCATTTTATCTGCTATTTTAATCTAATTTTTAAATGTAATACTCTTCTTTCTTTAGATTCCTCAGAAGAGTCATGAAAATGAACCTGTTAATGTTGATGAAGCTACAAGATTAATGGCTCAGTTGTAATGCAGCATGATGTGATGGAATTCCCCCCCAAAAAAATTCAATAAATTGTTTTATACAATTTTATTTTTAAAAATCTTGTTAATATACAGGTATTGGCACATTTTAAAACAAACTACAGATCTTTCCCATATAACCTAGGAAAGTGGAATGTCAGACGTTAACAAAATGTGATAAACTTAAAGTGCTAAAACAGAAGGCACTTCACAAAATCTGTTCACTGAAACAGTTATAAATCCTCATTTATATCCTTCACTTGTAAATGGCAGTGAATGTCTGGACTCAAGGACATATAAAAGTACAGTTTCATGGCAGTAAAAATACAAGATAAACAAGTGTAGGGCCCTTGGCCAACTTTGTTTTCAGTGACCTGAAGTCTCTTTAACTTTCCTCTCATAAAGAAGAATAAAACAGATTTTGAATTTGAAAAAAAAAAAAAAAACTCTCAGAATGTAATTACATGGGTGTGGAGGTTGGTTATTAAAGCCCTTTGTTTTCGTAGTTAAAGTTTTGTGAAGTAAAAAAGAAAGTATTAGGAAAGAACACTTCAGAATCAGTGAACTAAAAAGGTGTTACATTCAGTATTTTAAATACTTAGGTTATTAAGAAGTCTAAATGTTACACAGTTAGAGGTAGATAAGAGTCCCAAGTTTCCATGGAATCTAATAATTTAGTATCTGGACATCAAATAGATCACAGACTCCTTCATTATCATCTAAATTAAAGTTGTAGTCATCTGCTGGGGTAGGAGAAAGCCGTAAGAGAGGAAACACTGCAAATAAAAAAAAAATTTAATGTTAAAGACAGGTTCTACATAGGTAATGGTATTTTAACAAAATATTCTCAAACAAATCAACCCAAATTGAGTTGCAATATATAAAGTAGTGATCAAATTAATTATGTTTTTAATGTATGTTTTGGAATATTCTTGCTTAAAGATAATTTATGCACTGATTATTGGTACTAGCTTAAAATTTTTAACCTGTTAGGTTAAAATTTTTATTAGTTGAATTTCTCACTAAAGTACATGATTTTAAAACACTGATCAATTAGTTTGTCACTTTGAAAACATGTTGGTGTTTTCTACAAAAATGGTAAACCCTTAAGTGAGCTGTTTACTAATTCAGCTGCTAACACTTCCTGGTCTCTGCTGTATTTGTTAATGGAACCAGGATTCTGAATCCAGGAACCAATGAACTAAGCACAGATATTAATAAAACAATTAGCATGTAATAGCTAACTTTTTAAGAATTACTTCAGATTAGATGCTGACATGGCTAATGTTAGAAGTTTGGTGACTTTACAATGGCAGACTGAAATAGGCCACGGTGTGAGTATTCACAAAATTGGGTTTTTAGATCATCTGCTCATTTAGACATACTTTTATCCTATTCTTTGGGGCTAGACTTGAGGTTTATTTAGTGAAGGTGGTAAATAACCCTTACAGATTCCTTCTTGAAATGCAGGCAAAATGAATTCAGAAGGATGGTTATTATTTACTGTAAAGTATTTTTAAGGGAAAAATTTCATGAATCATAATAAAGCAGTTAGTAAATACAGTCTATTCATTTCTTTTAAATTGTGTTACCTAATTTAAAAGATAGAAAGGAAAAGTTTAAATTACTTACCATCAGAAGACATCAACTCATCAATGATATCTCCACTAATAGATCCTACTGAAAATAGAAATGTCATAAAATTTTATTAATTTCTGCTTACATATTTTCACAGTAAAACAGTCACATCAGCAGTTTGACAGTGCAAAGTTAAAGTACTAGAAGATTATGGAAAGATTCTTTTCATGAACATCTGTTCTGTGCCTGGCATTACTTTAAGCTTTCAAAGACAGCCCAATCCTCATTATCTCTGCAAAACCAACTCGGTGTTACAAAGTCTATAGTGTAATTCTCCCGGTCTCCAAACCTTAAAACTTCAACATTACTTTCCATTCCTCCTGTTACCTTTATCTCTAGATCTTCCACATTAAATACTACTTCTTCTACCTAAACAACATTTCTCAAATCAATTTATTACTACTTTCCAATCCCTCTGTCATCACCCTATTTTAGCCTTAATGGTTTCCCACAGTTGCAATTGCAAATATGTAATTTTCAGTTTCCATAAGCTTTGATCTCTACTTCCCAGCGCCAAAAGCATCTTCTATCCTAATCATTTCGCTCCTGTGCTTGTATAATTCTAATTGTGATACTTCTCTGGTCAGAGATCTTCACTGGCTTATTGGCTGACATCTTAACTCGTTAGTCTGATAGTCAAGGCTTTCTCAAATCTGGCCCCAAGTTACTTTACTCAAGTTTCCAAACATAGTATCATAAACAGAAACTAAATATCCGGTTCTCTTTAAGTGATCTGTGGAAGCTGATATTGATAGACTAAGCTAAATGAGAAAGTTACCCACTTTATTCATCCCAGTTAGACCTTAGATTATAGGTATTTTTTTTTATGAACATGTCCATTTTGTCCATTTATTAACAGCCATGTAGGCTTTTTAAAGAGCAGGGGAAAGGTGCATTACCTCACTCCGGGGAACACTGACTATACGACAGAACCGATACTGGTGCCAATATGCCTCTCTAATCAGCTTGAAGGGCGTGTAGCTTTCCAGGTGGGCCTAATGGGCCTGGGCCACACTGGGGAGCAGTTTACCTGATTGGCAGAAGGCATGGATGGGGAGAAATGTGCTTGGGCTCAGGCTAACTGTTGGGGTTGCCCTAATCCCTCTTCTGTTTTAGGTGAGTATGACCCTGCTTAGCATGGCACAGCAACATGCTGCAACCCACAATAAGCTTTGAGTTAAACTGAAGGGCACCTAGCACGGGGATTAAGGCAGGGAGGAAAAAGAGCAAAGGGAAAAATGGCCGGGCCCACCATGTTTCAGGCTTTTCTGACTGGCAGGTGGGTGAACAGGTGTGGTCAGGCAGGGTCATGAAATTGTAGAGGGCGCGGGGACGTGGTGAAGGCATCTTCCGGCTCACAAATCTGATCCTATACACCTGCCTAGAACATTCCCCTTTCAGACTCCATTCCCTTAATCCTAAGGGGTGATGGAGGGAGCAGAATCATCACGTCTTCTATAGCTGCTTCCTGCTTATGAGGGGCGTGGTGCAGGCCCTGCCTGTCTTGGGTCTGGAAGTCTCTCTGCCTGTCTCCTCTAACAAATTTGCCTTGTGAGCTGGAGTCCTTTCGGTCCCCTGCATAGCCAGTTACTCCTAGATGTTGAGTTCTGGGAAATAAAATTTGTTAATTAGCATGAGCTTTTTAAGGACTGAACTTTCTGTTGTGTAGCCCTCTGCCTACAGCATGGAAATATTCCTAGGGAAAGGAAAGAAGGGAAGGGTATGGGCAACAAAGATCCATGTCCAGTTAAATCTTTTCAGCTTCATTTTTAACTACCGTGAACTCCCAGAGTAGCAGCAATGAAATACATTCCATAGGTAAAGATAAAGAATTTGGGGGCCAGCATGTGGTGTAGCAGGTAAAGCTGCCATGGGCAGTGCCTGCATCCCATAAGGGTACCAGTTTGAGTCCCGGCTGCTCCACTTCCGAACCAGCTCTCTGCTATGGCCTGAGAAATCAGTAGAAGATGACCCAAGTTCTTGGGCCCCTGCACCTGGGTGTGAGACCAGGAAGAAGCTCCTGGCTCCTGGCTTTGGATCGGCACAGCTCCAGCCACTGTGGCCAACTGGGGAGTGAACCAGCAGGTGGAAGACTCTCTGTCTCTGCCTCTGCCTCTCTATAACCCTGCCTTTCAAATGAATGAATAAGTAAATATTAAAAAGAATTTGGAATATGTACTATACAGTTGTTAATGATCTGCAGTGTGTCATCTTTATTAACACCATCATTCATTCATTCATTCACTCAGCAGTCGAAAGACTCTGTACCATGCTCCCTTTGTTTGGAATCAGTAAGGAGTTGCTAAATGCCAACCGTTGGAACCAGGAGAAATAATTGTGTGCCAATGAAACATTTATAAATTCAAGAATTGTGGTACCTACTTCGCATGCCCAATTTTTAGTGTTTTGACTATTTGTCATTTCATAGATGGAAATAATATAGGAAAGCAAGATATCCTAAATAATTGGAGTTGGGACCATTTATCCACTCATAAACTAAGTTTCTCAACAAAATATAACAAGGTAGGGAAAGAGGCATGAATTCTATACTTTTTTGTAAGGGCCGTTACAACACGTTTCAATCATTTATCCTATACTTATTATGAAATAAAAAAGCCTTAGAAAGGTGAACCTCAGATAAAAGCTAACATGTGAATAAGAAAGAAAAGGCAACAAATTTGACTTAGCTAACCAAGAAATAGAATCCTAAGGAAAACAGCCACCTTTGGCCCATAAACATCTTTCCCTTGCTAAGTATTCACTGTTTAACACACAGTCTCAGCCATGTTACCTTGTATCTGGATATTTCTGATTTGTGTATTTCACAAATAACATACACACATATGGGGCAGCCTCAAAAAGTTCGTGATAATGAACCAAAAAGATGCATTTTCCATGAACTTTTGGAACCTCCTCTCAAAAATACAAATCTACAGGATTGTAGATAGGACCTCTTAAAATCTTCCTCATATCTATCCCAGTGCTATAGACACTAGAGTAATACTGTTGAAAAAGCATTTTACTATTTTGCCTCCTGTATTAGGTAACTGGATAGTATCACCAATGACAAGTTCAGGAAAGCTTTCCAACTCCCTTCACACAGGATTCATATATTTTCCCCTCTAATCTTTTAAACAAAGGACCTGAACCTACCTGAGGCTATGTCTGTAGCTGGTGTCTGCTGGAGACTCTGGCTTCTTTCAGAGGCAGGTTGCTCAGGCGGGTGCTGAGCTGCCACGGTGGATTTCTGTGGGGTCACTGGAGTGGAGGACTGGGAAGAAGGCTGTGTGAGGTCATCAGGTGGGGGAATGGGAAACACCACGGGCTTAGATGAATTGGATTCTTTATTTATAAGCAGCACGTGAATAGGTCCTGAATGACTCTTTAGATTGATCTGGTATTTCTTTTGTCCATTCTGACCCTTTGAAATTA